CCATCATCTAGAAGATACAGGTGTTTACTAACAGTTGTCTACGCAAAATACTTCGGATCCGTTGGCCGGACACTATTAGCAACAACCTACTGTGGGAGAGAACAAACCAGATCCCAGTGGAGTAAGAAATCAGGAAGAAGCGCTGGAAGTGGATAGTACACACATTGAGGAACCACCCAACTGCGTCACAAGACAAGCCCTCACATGGAGTCCTCAAGGCCTAAGGAAAAGAGGAGGACCAAAGAACACATTACGCCGGGAAATGGAAATAGACATTAGAAAAATGAACAAGGATTGGATGGGACTGGAAAACAAGGCCCATGACAGAGTGGGTTGGGGAATGCTGGTCAGCGGCCTATGCTCCATTAGGAGTAACAGGCGTAAGTAAGTAAGTAAGCATATATATATCTTCTTATCATAAGCTTTCGTCTGACCTATTGGCTACAGTCATACTATTTACCATTCTTAATTTATTCCCAAAGTACGAAATAAGGTCTCCTATACTCACAGCCATTTTTGGCTTGATCTTGGTATAATAATTAGCTGTCATCTTATGGTGTGATAATGTCTAATCTGTTTGTATGCAAAATATGTGTGTCTAAAATATACGATTAGTATGGTGGGAGCTAATATTTTTGTTCTGAACTGAGCGGGCTGGGTTAGGCAAGAAGTTATCATTTAGAAGACCAATAAGAGTTCACACAAAGCTGCTAGTGCTGATTAATGTACTATTGGTTTATTGTGGAACAAGGACATAGAAGTCGGTATTCTGATTGTTGATTTATCACATGATATTTGACAGGGCGTTTCACACAGTACTGGTAGACGCAGTTTCCGGACTTCCGGTCACGTTCGAAGCCATTAAAGAAGCTAGTGAGAAGGCTAATGCATTGAAGGTTGTTCGCAGCTACATACTCAACAAGTGGCTTCCATCTAGGCTACATGGCAAGCTCTTACAATATTTTCGATGACGAGATCCTTTGACAGTTGTCGATTCGTGCATCATGTTTGACCACCGTCTCGTTATTCCCAGAAATCTTCGACACCAAGTCCTTAAGCAGTTCCACAGCGGGCACCCCGGGGATAAGTAAAATGAAGTCACTAGCTCGGAGCTATGCATACTGGCCGTCAATGGACCATGATATAGAACAAAAATGTTGGAGTTGTTGGTCCAGTCTAGAGGCCGCAAAGAATCCGACTAAAGCTGAACCACAATCATGGCCGAAACCGGACAGGCCTTGGCAAAGAATACACGCTGATTTCACCGTCCAATACAAGGCAGAAATTACTTAGTTGGTGTCGATGCTTTTACAAAATGGCCAGAAGTATATGACATGCAGAAATGGACATCACAGAGTACAACAAGAAGATTGTCAGGATTGATTGCTTGTTTTGGTGTTCCAGAGATCTAAGTGACTGACAACGGCACTCAGTTTATGTCATCCGCCTTTAAACGCTTTTGCAGTGAAAATGGCATCTCGCATCTGCAATCTCCATCCTCAGTCGAATGGCCAAGCAGAAAGATTCGTGGATACGATAAAAAGAGCTCTGGTCAAAGGGAAGAGCGGGTATCCCAGAACAAATTATCAGTAAGTTCCTAATGTCTTATAGAGTTATCCCTAATTCGGCAGTACCAGAAGGAAAGTCACTAGCCGAGTGTACGTTCGGAAGGAAAATCTGGACAGTCTTTAACAGTATGTTGCCACCCAGAAAGACGAACCCATGAATGAGTATCGTACGGTCAGTCGCAGCTTCCAGGTGGGTGAAAGGGTACTTGTCAAATCGTATCAAGGTAATAGGAAATGGGAACCAGGTGTTATAGAATGTCTTATCGGAAGTGTGCTGTACCTAATCGAGAGAAATGTTGGTACGTGTATAAGACATATAAATCCAATTCAAAGGGACGATGGAACACTGATCCCATAAAGCGACTCTCGGTTGAATTGCTCGTGGATTCATCTCGAAAAAGCCCTCAGGAGCACGAATGTATAAGAGATAAAAGACGCACGGGCAAGGCTGTACAACCTTTGAGAGTGATGAACCGCAAGAGGTATGCGGTAACAAAGTTTCAGGTGGATCCGAGAAAAGTCTTACACAACAGACTTAAAGAGATGTAAGGACGGTCCACGGGTGAACTCGAGGAAGCTCTAAGCTCAGAAAGAGCCGAAGATATTTCGTCATCTTTTGGAAGAATATTCCAGAAATCCTACATGTAGCTCCCCTATTGTACGGATCGGATAATTTTATTATTATTTATTTAAACACATAAACATTGGTACAAGGAGGCACCAAATACATATGCGCCACACAAATCATTCGAATAATGTGAGGACTGGGTTACTGCCCGGGTGCCCAAACCGAAGCAGGTGGTTTTCGTAGGGAGCTACATCCCGAGCCTTTGACCTAAAGGTCTGACCCACAAGGCAATGGAGCATCGTGAGGAGATGCAGTTCCACGGTAGCCGGTGACCAACGATTGGTTCATTTTCGTAAACAACACCCCCGCCACGAGAAGGCAGTGAGTAGGACTTCCCTGGCAGAGGCTGTATACGCGTGGCCATGTGAGGGCATTTCGAGAGGGAGGGCGAGCCCACACGACTCTCGGCCATACCAGGGCATTTGGGGGCGGATTGGATAACTATAATTATGATTTCGTCTTTTCTAGAAACGATATATACCTGACAGTTTCGTAACATAAATGGCACTGTTTAGAATAACATTCCTTTCATTTGTCTTCTCATTTGCGACTTGGGAAGGTTCTAGCGTGCGAGTGCTCCACTTATACGCGGCACATTAAGAATCTAAGTTCTAGATATAACGCTTATCAGATTCTCACTCATCTGATTTGACTTTATTTCCAATAAAAACATCATAAGAAGGTAACGTATGACCAAATCGTTTGTAATGCAGTGTACTGATCTATCACAGCTGCGGCTATACGAGATACTAAAAACCCAAAGGAAGATATGATAAAATAAACAAAGTTGTAACTAAATACAAGGTTTCGTAGCGGATGGCCGAAATTTTAGAACGAAGTCGTACTGCCAATGACTAAAGCATAACGATAGTAAGGTGCTTTATATATGTCGGGATCCTCTTCTACAAGTATCAATCCCAAAAGTAGCATACCTCACCTAGTCCCACTGGTTTCTGTGATGACAGAGAAGGTTGAAAAGTACATAGCTAGTACGTCAGCCAACTGCGCTTTTGTTATGTGAAGTCATGCTCTCAGGTCTCTCAGTAAGAATTATCCTTCCATGGCGTGGGTAATTGAGAAGCAATAACTCCCCACTTACTGTAACAGCTCAAAACTATTAGTCAGATTTATGATATAGATAATAACTACTCACCGAGACCTCACTGTTGTACAATGGTAGTCAGGATCAAAATGATTAAGACTAGAAACACTAAAACCTAAATTAATTTCCAAAGTTTGAAGTACAAAATATTTCTATTAAAGAAATTGAGATCACATAGTGAGACTAACCAAAAATCTGTACTTCAAAACATTTTCAGAGGAAATTAAAAATCCAAGACTCCTCGTCGTGACAGCAATGCATGAACCAGTGTAGGAGATCAAATATGTTTGCTGCTACCGTAAGTTCAACAAATAAGCAGAATAAAGCAAAAAACACACCGATATTTCCAGATATATGTAATACCTAGATCATTAAGAAATTTTACTCAATAGATCTAAGATGTTCCTCATATTTCATAATGCCGATCATTTAGTAAAATTATTTTGATAACTAGTTTTCTTTGTTTAGGATTCAAAAATATGTAATCAAAGAAAACTGCAGGTTCACTAGCATCCAAAAGACCGGATCTTAAACGCTGCAAAAAGAAATACAGCGTTTTTATATTCGCTCAGTAGAATTCGAAAAACCTCACTGTTCATATATTACATCAACAAACTAACCAGCACTCAATATTTTATTTATTTGAACACATAAATATTGTAATCTTAATAGTTGAGATCATGAGTCAATTGAAGCTAGACCATTATGGAAAGCCTGGAAACACTGGACGGCGTTTCTTCCTATGGTGGGACGCCTCAGCAGTGCGCATCCACGATGCCGCCTCGCAAGATTCAGACAAAAGTATTGGTACAAAGGAACACTGAATACATATGCGCCACACAAGTCACATGATTTGTGTGCGGGCTGTGATACTGCATTGGTGCCCAGACCGAAGCAAATGGTTTTCTTAGGTGACGCCTGGAGCAACGTCAGGAGATGCAGTCTCATAATAGTCGGTGATCAATAATTGGTTCATACGCCATTTGCTTCCTCAGGATACTGGAGCCTATGTCCACCATTGGTTTAGAATCAGGGTTTTCCGATAGCCCTAGGTGAACCCTCCGCAACCATCAACTCGGTTGGAGCGCCAGACCTTCGCTTTCGTCATCTCAATTCCGTAAACAACACCCCACCGCGAGAAGGCAGTGAGTAGGATTTCCCTGGTAGTGGCTGTACACACGTGGCCACGCGAGAGTATTTTGAGAGGGAGAGGTGACTCTCCCCCACCCTCGGTCGTACAAAGGCATTTGGTGGCAAGGATTCAATAAATTAAAACAGAACGCGCGCCATAGATTGTGGGAAATATGATGTTCACAACGCAAATTGCTAGTAACGTAAACCATGTATTTGTAAATATTGCTGATAACTAACACTCCGAAATTAGAACATTGAATAAAGAAAACTGATAAAGAAAATAATCCATCAAGTTAAATCACCCGGAAGTAAACATATATTTTAAAGCTTTCTATACGAAAAATTAGTCGATTGCAGAGAAAAAACAGATGCTCGACATAAATATCAACTTAGATTATACAAATTGTTATACGGTAAAATTGAGTAAAAAGATTATGTCCATAGCTTTCTGTATTCTCAGAATACATAAAAATTAATTGATTATTCATTTTATTTGCGTGTTAATTCATACACAGCTAGTACACAAATAATAGGGAAAGCATATATTGTCTTTGGGATATTCCATAAATTAAAATGGGTGAAAAATAGTTTGGTTTCGTAAAGGAGTAATCATCAACTTAAAACCTGTGTTATTTGAGAAAGACATGAATAAATGAACTTTATTGGCTGGTTCCAGTACATAGCGGATATATGGCACATCAACATCTTTATCATGCTCATCACTGCAACAGACATCAAATACCAGTACTTTGACATGGGGAGGTATTTTGCGTTTGTTGACTACTTCCACCAGATCTTTTAATCTGAAAAAATACACATTTAAGCAATAGAAAACTGAATAATCATTCTATGGGACTTTGATATTTTCTAATCACTTAACATTAAAGTAAAATTGAAAGAGAATCCAGTGATCACCCCATAAACTAGCGGCATGGGCTCCTTGTATGTTACTCCAAGATTTACAAAGTAATTATATTAATTTGAAATGAAAACATTCAAAGAAATGATAGACATGGTTCATGTTTAATATACAAAAATACTTCGAAACATCTAACTTTAGATAAGTTAATCACACTAATAAAAACACTTGATTGAGTATTATAAAAATCTCGAGCCCCTAACCAATGCTTTCATGATATTATACGTATCTGTTAGTCAGTTAGTCGGCTACAACGTAGGATCGGGCACACATATACATATAAATGTTGGCTGGTTCGAAATGATTGTCCTTGGTAGACAGGAACAACAATTGAACTAAAAACTAAATTGCTTCATTCTATTTCATGGTTGTAAATGTGATTCTTAGAAAAGGATATTTATAGGTTAATAACATTCAACTAAATGTGTCTTCAAACAATCGTTCGTATATTTTGAAAACTATGAGATAGCAATTCTGAGGTTATACCCCCAGTACAAGGTAATGATGGTTAATGGATAGATAATATAGCGAATATACATCTACTGAGATGGTGAGAACATGTGTTCCGTATCCTCATCCACCAACTACCTCGATGAGCGATAACGGATGGCGTAGTAGTCTAGAAGCTAGCGGACTTCGAGCCAAGACTTGGGTATCAGTCCATGAAGATATTGACTGTTCGACTGGCTAATATAGGTAAATGTAGACTATTTGGTTGAGGTAGGCTTGATCATCGTAAATAATGGTTGGCTTTTAAGTGACAGTGTTCTAAATCACTTCCAATGACGCAAGTACATCTACTCCTTGTCTTGACTTAGTTCTTAAGTTTCTACATTACCTTATAAAATTATCCCACTAATCTATAATTATTTACTGAATTGTAACTTCGATAGCTAATCCTTTAAACTACCATTATTACGGTCAATAATTCTACTAGTCTATGGTTTGTTCTAACGATTTTGTTAACAGTGCATGGCAACTTGAACCGATATGCAAATATGCCAGGTTCTGCGCTGATTATGACCGACTGACGAATAAGCAAACCTTTCTAATAACCCGATCCTTTTAATCTAGAAATATGACGAAAATACGATGTATTTCTGAACTGCCATATTTTACTCCTTAACTATTACACTTGTCATTAAAAAATATCAATCCAGCTCAGATGTATCCGGACTTAACACTTCATTTACACATGACAACTGTGGCTGAGAATCAACACACAACAAGTATTTAATACATACATTTTCTAAAACCATTTTGCTAACTACCAAGCTGTTGAAATTTCAGTGCAATAATTGCATGCAAAATAAAATTTATGTTTTTAGTGATGTTGATTAAATGTGAAGAAATTCGAGTACTTTGCTTCCATCGGAATTATTTACTGATGTTATCCAGAAGGACAACGAAAGCCCCAGAACTAAACCATCCAGATTAGAGAACGTAACTCTACTGAGATCATCCATCTTAGCTCAAATCTTTCCCAACATTTCAATCTAAATTCTTGTTTCCGACAACCAAGTGGTGTCCAATAAACAACAATGGTACTCCATACTCTCTGAGAAACACATGGAACGAAAACAACACCCACCACATTAAAAATTGTTTTGTCATCAACTAATCTACAAGTAATCGATTTGATATTGTATTTAGTGGCAAATTAATCTCATAAATTTGAACCATTTAATCTACATATATTGGTTATTTGAATCTTTCCATTGACGTTTTGGACTGTAGTTGACCAGCCTCTTTGGGTATATCTGCCTAGATATTGCAACTAAGTCAAAAGCATTTTCTAGGGGGGAGATGGGTGGTGGCTAGCAGTTCCATTCCATTGACGGCCACCATCACTATCCATCTCTGCTCAAAAAATGCTTTCGAACTATTTAATTCAAAAAAGATATACATCGTTGGTCAACTGTCACTTAAATACTATGCGGTTATCTATGGTATCCTTAAAATATGAAACAAAACTATGAAATGAACTTACGACATAACTAGACGTTCCTTACGCTTTGCTTCTGGCATGAAGAATGCATAGAGCATAGAAACATCTTGCGATAACATTGTTACATTTAACTTCAAACTATCCTAAAATAACGAGAGTGAATTAGTTTGGATATGAAGAAGCAGGCTTACTTTGAAGTAATCAATTAGACCTTGCAAGGTCATAGGACCTGAAAGTTCGAACCGATCCCATAAAGAAAATTCTGTATCGTAGTATTTTGACTTGATAGGTGCTACAGGTTCATAAAATGAAGTAAAGGGCAACGCTAAATCGACGTAAGCATTTTTGAACAGTTCGAGTTTTTTGTGTCCTTGAACAAGCTAAAAGTAACATGAAAAATGAAGTGAACAAATAGTTACAACTAGTAAGGATTTCACAACATAGTGTACGGAAACGACTCTCAAGTACAAAAAACTTAAACATGGAAATATTGTTACAATATGTCGATAACTAACAAGTAACTCTGATTGTTAGCTACTTTGTTTCATATTATCGCGTAAAGAATGTTTCTGCAACTAAAAGACAACAATTACACATTATATCATTTGATAAATATACAAGACAGCTTTTAGCAAATCACTTGACAATCTACGACTTATCAACGTCTGTCGATAACACTGGCCATAGAGAAACAAAATCGAATCACTTAAACACAGAAAAGTACAATTATGGTGAAATATAATTACAAACCTTAAGTAGTTCTAGGCATACCAGCCCAGCCACCAAACTAGTTGTAGTTGCAATTGCAGGGATAATTTTACCAGCAATTAATTTACTTTTTAGTCGGTCAGCTGGAGGGATTTCATAATTCTCGGCCCTTAAATTGCTTGCTGTGGTGATGAAGTCCATATGAAAATTTGTATCATCATCTTTCTCAAATTCAATTACGTTGATATGCAGTGTTGAAGTGTTGCCTTTGTAGTAAAAATGAAACCAAAACGACAAACATGAAATCACAGCGAACACAAAAATATTAGGCTGTTCAACAGTTTCTTATAAACAAAACAACACCCTAGTGCCAGTATAGTGTCATTTTGTAACGTCTTTAACTTAAAAAGAAGGACTTATGGTTTAGAAAAATTATCTAGTCATCTAATAAATACCCAACTTATTAATTAGTCGGTCACATTAGTGAAGTCAATTTGTACTCTAAAAAACGATATCTGAGAAATTGAATACACCTAGATTTTCCGTGGTAAGATCACACTGAAGAAATGATTGTAAACAAATATTGTGTAGAAACTTAATCAACTAAGACTTGGAGTTAGTGACTATTGAAAATATCATCGACATAACCCAATAAATCTTTCGACATTAGTCGAAGCGCTTGTACACTTCTTAGGGTTAAACATATAGAACGAAAATATTAGTGTAAAATCTCACATTAAAATTTACACATTCGAGTTGCCATAATTTTTAACAGAGTAAATAATGGAAGGATATTTGAATAACAAGGGTATAAGAAAGGGCAAAGCAAATAAGAAAATGTTAATGTAGAATTGGAACACCTACGTTTATGCTAACTATTTTGGGACCATATCGCCCAACGCATCACTTTTTTATTGAGCTAGAAATGGGACGCATTTAAAATATAAAATGGTTCAAGTTAGACTGATCAAGTATTTAGAAAAAAACGCCTGTATTTCACAATATGTAAAAAAATAAATACTGGAGAATCAATCTCTGAAAGTATGCACCGATATAATAGGAAAACAAAAATAGGTGCTTTTTGTAGCTGGCACATAGTGAAGCACTTACTGAAGCTACGTAAAGCTTTCTGAAGTTTTTCAAGTCGAGATGTATCAGTCATAGGTGCAGCTGACCTTGCTTGAGCCTCTGCCTCGGTTACATCAATCCGTACGCCTGATCGAGGAACAAACGGAGGGACAACTACATTTTGAACAATTTCGGAAATTTTGGACAGGTTTCGACATTGAGGGATACCATAGCATTCAGCGCGAAGGTTTGAAGCCGCCGAAATAAACTCCAAATGTGTTGTCTGTAATTAAAATATCAAAGATGCAATTCCAGTTTTTACGAACTGTGCGTCCTTATGGTGAAATTGGTTAGAAAAGTTTGTGGTTCAAACTGCACCCAAAATATCGAAAACCCAGCTGTTTGTGAACTTCAAAAACAGTGTAACGTAATGTAACTTAGCAACCTTGTACATTATTAGACGTAAAGCTATCGCCTAACCGCATTTTGAGGGTATTATTGACATTACTTAACCATCTAGAAGATTGATAAACAATAATGAATTTTCACAGATTGAAATCATGAGTCAGTTGAAGCTAGACCGCCATTGAAAACCTGGAAGCCCTGGACGGCCGTTTTGTTCTAGTATGGGACTCCTCAGCAGTGAGCACCCACGATCTCGCACCCCGTGGGATTCGAACCCAGGACCTGCTGGCTTCAGTGGTCTAATGGTTAAGTGCTCGTGCACTGCTGAGGAGTCCCATACTAGAACGAAACGGCCGTCCAGGGGTTCCAGGTTTTCAATGGTGGTCTAGTTTCAAATGACTCATGATTTCAATCTGTGAAAATTTCTAAAATCTCCACAAATCCCTTCTGATAATAAGGAATTTGTTTGGTCTAAATGTTATAGACAGAAGTTATTCTACATATGTTGCTATAAAACAACGTAGTCTAAACGGCTTTTATTTAGTTGTGGGATGAACAAGCATTTTGTTTAATGTTTTCGTTGATTAGCATTTCGAATTCCACACTGAAAACTGTAGCTATCACACATACTAACTAACAGAAGTCTTTCGAAAATTCGTATACATTTTTGGCACATCATCAGCGACCCATGCTCAAACGGCCGTGTTCGTTTTCAAGCCGTATGTAATATGAGAAGTAATTATTCACCAGCTAAGCTTTTCAAACACTAATCATAGATACATGGAACAACATTAAGATACAAGTGGAGATGACAGATAATTGGTTGAGTAATATTTTCTAACCCTAGAATAAACGATTACTAGAAATTCGGTGATAACAATGAGTAACCGGAAATAAACGAAAAAAGTCATTTGTGAAGTGAATTGATGTATGCTTTTTTCATTATGTACAGTAGTGTTTCCGAACTTGAGTAAAAACAAATTTAATTTGGACAAACTCAAAAGTAAAACTCACATCTTGTACATCAAACTGCAATGGATGAGGGCATCGTTTGGTTCCTGACCAAAAATCAGAACCAGTTGAAGTGACATGGTCGCGAGGGAAATTGAACAAAGTTGTGCGATTGTGTTTGAAAACAAATCCTAAAAGAAAACTCACTTTAAACATATCTATCAAATAACAAAATTCTATTCACTAGTTAATTGTAGAATATTGAATAGCCAACGGCTTCAAGCGCTCTAGTATATTTACTCTATGTATTAAAAGAATCGTAAGGCTGAGATTTTACACCGTGATGGACTTAGATTGTATCGAGTACAGGTTAGTATACTCTAGAGGAAGTTGAACAAACCTAGTGTTTATCCGAACGATATGAATACTTCAAAGGAATATAATAAAAATAAATGCTTTATGAACCCATACTTGTAGTGAAGATAGAACCACCTTAGCTGAAGATTTTAACTGTAATGATAAGATGGGTCGTTATGTCAAATTGTACAAAAATGTAGGTCTTAAAATGCAAGCAGAGTTGAAATGGTGAAGATTTATAGCCCAGACAAATTATTTTGGTGGGGTTTCGTTCTCTTAACTGGATGGTTTGGTCGACATGAAGTTTGTGCTGATGTTCTTTAAAAGAACGCTGACCTCCGCAACCAAACCATCCAGATCAGAAAATGATATTCCACCAAATGCAAGTAAAGTTCTCAATCATCCACTAGCTAAACTACTACAAAACCTTAATCAAATAATTAGTTACCCCTAGTGTGGTATACACGATTCCATTGACTTGTTATAGAGAGCTCTTACCTCGATGAACAGCACTCTCCTTAAGTAGCTGTTTTAGATATTTCTAAAATCATGGTAAGCGTTTCAAATTGGAGCCTGAAAAGGTAACGCGAACAAAACACCAGGCAGGTATGTTTGTTACTTCGGAAAAGACAGCCATTGAAATCGAAACGCTCAAGACTTTTATTCAGCAACCACGTGAGAAATATTGAAAAGGAATTCCTTAACAAGCAAATGATTTAAAGACATTGTACTGATGTTTCACATTTCCGGTTTATTTGTCATATTAACCAACAAATAGGAAATACCTCTTGAGGAAATTACTGTGTACTACTAGGGCAGCAGAAATATAACTCACAAAATCAAGAAAATTGGAACGGTGGAAACCACGGCTAGATAGGTCAAGCTGGACCTAATTTAATCCATAATTAGTCACAGAGTCATTGAGATCATTAGTATGGGTGAAATACTGAAGTTATGAGGTACGACAAGCAAACGAGTACGACGAGTGAAAATTTGATAAAGACATATAAGATTTTCGAACTTACCTGCCAGAGTAATCTAGCCCAAGTGACACAATCTTCGAAACTACTTGGTCTTTTGTCTAATAAATTTGTTTTTAAAGTTTCTAGTGTTTCCAAAGGTTGATTTCCTTGATTTGATAATGTTCGTTCTAAAAAGCCAGATGGATCCTAAAAGGTGGAGAAATAAGGACAGGATTGTTTCATATTAATCTAATCAAGGTAAAACTCAAAAATCTGAGATTAGCAAGTAAAAGACTTCAATTATTGTTCCAAACGAGATTTTTTTCAGTTTATATATTGATTGCATGCAGAACGTAGCAAAAACCTGGTGTGAAAATAACATGACTGGAAGAGATCTAGTTTATTTTCATGGTTAGTGTATTACTATTACAATATTTTGCTCCTATAGATGTACTCATTTTCAGATTAAAGGAAATAATTTCTTACATTATTCAAATCCTCATTGGTTACTATGTTTTTATGTGTTCTGAATAAGAAAAATATAAAAACTGAAGAGCACAGTAAACTTACAAACTGTCTGGTTCATAATTAGTAATTTTATTATTCAGTTGATCAGTTTACGGCGGATGAAGCAGACTTAAACTAGATGGATAATCATTTATCAAGGCCATTAAAGGACATATACACGTAGAAAATGTGAATCCACAAATGACTGATATTAGATGTCACAATCCCAATATAGCGCAGTTGTTTCTTGAAAATCAAATTGATATTCAAGTACTAACTCGTCAACACAAACTATCACATGATACATGTGACAAATACTCAGACATCACACTGTATCCTACAAAAAGAAACTTTTGACTCCATTGATTTCGAGAAACAAATTCTAGTAAAAACAGGCCAATTAAAAGTGTGTTACTTGAATGAAGTGAGATGTGAAGAAATAAATTCGAGAAGGGCAGTACAATCAATAACTAACCAAGAACAATATTTAGTCAGAAATATTGCTTAGTTGAAAATCAAGACTAAGAAACTTCATTTAGTGAAGAGAATCCTAATTTTTTAGGAATATAATAAAAAACCACAACCGGATCCCCATTAGCTTATATTGTGAAATATATTAGACGTCTTACGGTACATGACCTTGAACGGACAACCCAGTGGTGATAGGTCTAAATTCCACTCTAATGCAGCAATTTTTATTAGCAAAACGCTATTTCATGAAATGAAACCCTGTCTTCATCACCCAGCTCCACAGATGACAAGTGACGCACAATACGGAAGTAATTGGGATAATACTCTTAAACCATGAACACACTGTCGAAGTCGGTGTTTCAGCATACTTGCATCAATTGAACTAGCGTCAATGCTTTTAAATACACTTGGAGATCTCATTATGAGTGACATGGTTACCAACGCAAGTGAGTAGCCCTCTGGAGATAGCTGCCGAACATCCTCAACTCGGTGAGGCTGTCTCACAACCACAGAAAATAACCGTCCTTGTCAACGCACTGGACACAACCATTTACCGTTAGGCTAACATCAGGACGGCGCCAACGTTTGTCCACAGTGAAATAAAGTGCTCTGGATCCCACTTTACGTAGGTTGGTCCAATTTTTCACTCCACTACAAGCACCAAAACAACTACTCAGACCCATGAACTCGATTATCTCTAATGGTTCACCATCAAGAGTGGGTTCAGGCCTTTTATGATATCATCTGTCCCAAGTTTTTTTCCTGTTTCATCAAATATATAGTATATTGTTTTCTAAACAGTATTAAACACCCAGATCTGAATAGCAACTTTATCAGCTTACCAGTCACGTAAAATGTAGTTCCTATGAGTTCAGTTCACACTAAACGAGCCATAGGTTAATTGGTTAAATTGAAGACCATAATAAACGGAACTTATATGAATAGGATTTTGCCACACAAAATTTAACCGGTATGAAATATAAACAAATATATGTCATCATGAGTTGAACGATAGTACTAGGACTTATAGATCAAGACATTTTTGATGACAAGTGTTCCCAGTATTTCGCAAACGTAATGAATAACTAACCTGTAAAAACGAACTCATTGCTTGTGACTGGTGGACGAAAAGTCCTTCAAACAGATCGCGTGCCCACTGGAGGGTATGCTCAATCAGATAAGGGAAGTTTTTCAGAGTGCACGCAGGGAATGATTTTTCTGGAGGGTCCTGTAAAACGAGAAAAAAACACCGGGAGTCACACGCCGAGAACCTCTTTTATTTTAACCTTAACAAAGTAAGACCACTACCAAGAATTCAAGACTAACTGAAAAGTAAAGTGAGTTTACTAACAGCTATTTTCGACTTGACTATTTTCTACTTGCATATATCTGGTAAGTTTCTAAATTTGTATAACGCCAATATCAGTGTTAAAAGTATCCTGATGATTCGTTGTACCAACTTTCAAGATTAACTATTCAGGTTAATTAAGGGATGAACGATTAATAAACTCAAGCTTAAGAAAGATGAAGGATTTCGTATAACTAATCAGTCTAACGTAAAACCGGCTTCTTCAGATTTGTTCTACAATAGCACAAATTTAGCAGCACAACCTCAGAAACTTGTTGCTAGACTTCAAACTTTATTGACAATGGTTATAGCATGTGGTCTTGTGCACTACTTATATATAACGTAATGATACTGCCAATTGAAGAACAGCGATTTATCGACGGGACCAATGACAAGTAAACCCATACGAGCAGTCTAGAGTGCTTATCAGTCCTTTTCCCTGTCCATCCCTGCCTGTTAGAGTCCAGAACACTAACCTCAACCTCTGCGATATGAATCATGTATTTCAAACATACTGGGTTTATATACAAACCAAGCAGACCACATCGTACCACAAAATGGAAAACAATATTTGTACAAGATCTAGCCAAAAGTGGCTGCAAATGTGGAAGACTTAAATTAATAGACTGGGCATAACTCCAGAACGGTAAATCGGATAATAATAATAATAATAATAATAATAATAATAGTCAAAATAAAGCTTATAATAATAGGAACGTGAATATGCATAGCTTAGCTATTTAACAGTTATACAATAAAAATATATGTATCTTATTGGTCCATAAGTAGTTCTTAAGTCTACCATTCGTAATTCTCGTCGGGATATAACAAAAATTGAATGGATTATTTATATACATCCTTTATAATCGATCTTACGAAGCTAGTCTCAAAATAGACCTCTACATAATATCAAGTCACTCAGCAGTAACATTATTAGCAATCTAACTTATTTATCGATACAAGTTAGTTTGATCAGTATTGAAATACAAGAGATGGTTATACTAATCAGCTGTTCAAATCGAAGTAGATACTTTAAGATCTCAATAAGTGACCCCATGTTTTAAATTCAAGTACTTAAGCTACTGCTTCATTATTAGTAGACATACAGCATATATTTTTATCAGAAGTACAGATTACTGCTTTAACGTTAATTGACGATTTAGATGTTTCATAAAAAGTTATAACTGTTTAGCTTACTTGTGAAGATGAGTAAGATTCTGTCAAATAAGGGATAACAACCTGTACATTACCCTTAGTTCCCAGGGTTCCAGATTCTAAAAGAGGTTTGCGATAATAAACGCAACGACGATCAACATAAGTGCGGGCCTCAACGTTGTCTAACGCATTAGCAATTCCATCCAATTTCTCGAAGAATTCGTCGTCATATATTTTCTCCGTCTCCGGTCCAACACGATTCTCATGAGCTTCAATATTAAGCTAGAATAAAATAAATACGCGGCGTCATTAATTCGTATACATCACAACCCTGACGTTCAAAAAATTATCAAATGGATAAGCCAACCGTAGAAAACTTTGCATGGGTCTATAACGTGATAAATATAACATGCTTCTACAGTACTATATTAGGAAATATAAAAATAACGGGAATGACAAGCAATTCCCATTTGTTTGAGATTAAAATATTCCTACACAGTAGCTGATTAAAGCAGATCAAAAAAGTCTTATGAACTTTCCGACGGACCTTGAAGAGTTGTCTAGTTTGTTACGATCCCAGTACTGATTATAGCTCCTAACAGTAGCATACAGAGTCAACGTAAGATTCGGCAGGGATATGAAGTGCGATATATCATAATTTACATAGACACAATTAAAGAGATCCTTAGTAACGGCGCCAAGATTTCATCAGTTATTAAGACATTAAGGTGGATGAGATGTCGGTGACAAGAATTTTTCAGACACCTTTTTGCTTTCGTTAAACCCTATTCAACTTTTCGGAGTTGAACTAATGACGACACTCAGTCATATCGTCTGTCGGTGGATATTATTTAATTAAACACATTTTTACGAATGAGGGACCGAAATATACATGTGCTACACAAATCATTGAATTTGTGTGGGCTGGGATACTGCCCGAATACCCGAACCGAAACAGGTAGATTTCTTAAGGGGCCACCCCTCGACTCCTTAACCCAGAGGTCACATCCACAGTGTACTAAAGCAATGTCAGGAGATGCAATTCCATAGTAGCTAGTGACAAACAATAGTTTCATACGACATTTGTTCTTTCAGGATCCTGAAGCCCAAGTGCACCATTGGTTTGGAATCACGGTTTTCCAACTCCCATAGGTGGATGCACAGTGCCGACTAACCCGGTCTGAGCACCGGATATCCACTTTATGTCTCCTCAATTCCGCATATAAAATCCCCGCCACGAGGAAGCAGTGACTGTAAGAGCGGTTCTGGAGAGCAAACTCTCCCCATCCTTTATATTGGGTAGCTGAAGGTGAATCACACCATTTTTCTCATCCCCCGGTTATTTCCACCCTTTTCTTTCCATCTTTTTTTATTTTCCAACACATAGCATGGTGAATCAGTCTTTTACAGAAACTTCGAGTCTCGTGGTGATCTGAGTTAGTATCTAATTTGGTAATAAAATAGTGGAGTGTGTCGAGCAACTCATACAGCTTGAGGACCTTATCAACCTCTCATTTTCGGCATTGGTATTCCTCATTAATTAGGTTAAAGACAGGAAGTCCACCACCCTAGGTTGACTGATATCTGACAAAATATTGATGGGGATCCCAAGGTCTCGTTGGGTACTGCCAACTTGTGCCACATGTGGTGTGATCGGAACATTTTGATACCTGTCGAGTATACTATACAGGATTTCACTGTTTAGCAGTCTACGCACTTGAAATAGAATTCATGAGTAGGGAAAGCTGAATTCTGACTTTGATTATGGGAGTCTACGAAGTACTACAAGCACACAACGGAGTCCCTAGGTGAGCAGTTCCGATTTCCGGCATGGAATAATGAATTAGGAGTGAATTGATTAATGAGATTGTGAAATTTTATGGATTGGGATTGTTGGGACACACGTTACACCTCAGTGACCGATTAATCCAATAGTAGTCGGTAAAAAGTGAAGAGTGGAAATACGAAAACATGATATCAACTAACAAAGTTACTAACTGTTAGACCGAGCTGTGTTGAGAGACACAATCAGAGTTTGCATGATAGTCGTAATTTATGGTTGGAAGCGATAATAGATGGTTTAAAAGCTTATATAACTGCATAGACGCGAACATGAGCAGAACATTATGCTATACGTTTCATTCCTCGAAGTAACTTACTCCCTATGATATTCTATTCTTAATTATTTAAAAATTCCTATATTTATCAAAATAAGGACTGTATATGGGTAGGGCGAATAATATTCTTTACAGTAAATTCTTATTAGGTTCTACAGTCACAAATCTAAATTCATGTCACAAAAAGCATAAGAAACTGGGATTGTTAGTAAAATGAAATAAACTTGTTAGTTTAAGTCACAGACTGGTTTCAGTGCGATCAACATTGGAAACTAGGAGGGATTGGACAATTCAGTGGTTTAGAGGGCGAGATTTCACGTGAGGCGACCCTATATTTGATCCTCCGTGGCAGGGTCGTGCATGCACATTGTGTACGAGTCCCAAAATAAGACGAAACAGCTGTTCAAAGTCTCTTGAACTCAATGGTGGCTTAACTAAGATCAGTTCGTGGTTTGTTCTATGGAAATTCTACAATCTCTACAAAACCCCTACATAAAACATGTCAGCGTTGAAATGACTGGTCAGTCAATCAGTCACAATGCAGAACCTACACGTATGCACATCGGTTTAAGCTGCCATACCTCATTATCACAGAGATGAAATTGTCAGGCAAACTCCCAGAATAGTGGAGGTAGTAACAGTCAGCTGTAGTATATTATGCATCGAAGATACGATTCGAGAAAGAAATATATATCAGTGAAATAAAAAGTTATGAAGGACTTTAGAACCTCAGAACTTGAGGGAAGACAAAGAACGGGTGCACCTGCACCACTGCAAACGATTTCGAGCAATTTCATTCAAAATCTCTAACCAGTGGTTATGATAGATACGCGGGCCCTTAACAGATAGTTTATGCCTATTAACATGGCCAAATCCAATTGTCAGTAACTTCATGAACTGATGTCATGTTGTAGTTTGGTCACTTCTAGCTTCCTTCCAAACTACTTCAACACCAGAAAATAACCCCTATCGAGATAGGAGGTGGTTCAGCATACATAACACACGTCCCAACTACCTTCGTTGATGAAGATTTACTATCTCTAATTGATTTCTCATCATTATCTAATACCTTATTCCTAATACAAGCATTGCTTACTTTGTGGTTCAAAAACACACGTACAATGCTTTCAAGACATCTCTGATTTAATAATCGAATACCAGTAACCTACGAATATCCTCTATTCTTAATCACCATATTTCACATCCGCAAAGTAGAATGGAGCGAACCGCTGCATAGTAAACTCGTCCTTTGGTTGTTCCTGAACGTGGTCAAAAGACTACATTTTGCCAGCATCTTCACCGAATACAACTACATCATCTGTGTATTCAAAGTCACTAAGTGAATCTACTCGTAAAACATCAACCTGTGAAAAGTTAGACGATGAAAGTGTTATCTCCGAAAACATGTCTATGAAAAAGTTAAGTAAAAATAGGGAAAATGGACAACCCTAACGCACACCACCTGAAGTAGCCAATTTCGATGACAGTTTGCCATAAACTTTGACTCGATCAGTAGTGTTCGAGTAGAGAGGCTGTACAAGGTTAATGTACTTCTCTGAAACACCTATCAATGACAAACTGCTGTATGTTTACCACACCATATATGCTTTCGAAACCTTGCCAGCATCTGCTGGGATCATCGTGTAAGTAATGGTGAAGTTAGCCGCATGATATTAGGGGATGATGGTGAATCAGTTGATGAGGTTGTGAATCCTCATCGACCGACAGTTGGACCGTGTTACGTATGTCTGATTACCGATCATCACGACGCGCAGTGCTTACTAGTGTTGGAAACGGTTGGAAGTTAGCGCGAGGCCAAACCAAGACGTGATATCAGTCACTGTAGTCACTAGCTTTTAGGTATGTTGGTAGGTGAAGAGATTACTTGGTTGGGGTCCACGCCACTATCATAACCAGTGGCTAGACTCTGGGTGACATGGCTCAGAATCGATCACAATGGCGTAGGCGTATACACTCTATATCTTCCCTTAAAGTATGAGATTAAAATCGCTTCACATCTTTCTACGAACTAATTCTTTCTTACTGCACTATATCCTTCAGTCAGTCAGTAACAACGTAGAACTTCATACGCACGTACATCAGTTCGAGTTGCCACACCACATTAGCACAGAGATGCAGTGATCGATTCAAATCCCGTAGTGGTAGAGGTAATAAGAGTATAAGCAGTAATCAGGAAAATTAGTGTTTGGAGATGTTATTTAAGGAGTATAATACAGTGAAATAAATTTTGGAAGAGAAAAAAGGAGGAGGAGGAATAAGGAGATGAAAATTTGGGAGAACACAAAGAGTGTATGCACTTGCGCCATTGCAAACGTATTTGAGCCATGTCATTCAGGGTCTCTAACCATCGGTTGCTATCATCTCGCCGTCCCCAACCAGGTAGTCTACACCTACCAACATGACTCAGACCACTTGTTAGTGACTTCATGGACTTGTGCCATGTTTTGGTCTGGCCGCTCCTAGCTTTCTTTCATCCTACTCCTATACCACTGAACATAGCACGTCGAGGTAGTCGGTCGTCGGGCATACGTAACACGTGTCCCAGCCATCTCAACTGATGAAGTTTCACTACTTCATCAATTGATTTGCCATCCTTGCCTAGTACCCGTGTCCTAACAACTGTGTTACTTACTCGATGGTCCCATGATATACGAGCAATGTTTCGAAGACACCTATGATCGAATACTAGTAACCTACGAATATCCTCTACTCTAACCGGCCATGTTTCACTGCCATAAAGTAGGACGGGACGAACTGCTGCGCAGTAAACACGTCCTTTGGTTGATAGACGGACACTATATCCTTACATAAGATCTTTTATATATTACAATCATTGCGTTAACTGCTATGAATCCGGTTTTTATTTTTCAGTGCTAATGAGGTATGGCAACTTGGACCGATGCATACATGTGCCTGGTCCTACGTTGTGGCCGACTAACTGACTGTATGTTTACCACGAAACATTCAGCCAGATATCCCAAACGTGAATTCTGAGATTAAAACATTCCTGTGTTTTGTACCCGACAGAATAGCGAGTCTTTCATAAAATCAGAGTGACATTTATGGTAACTGAACATCACATTTCGAATTGTGATGCTGTTTTAGTTAATTCAATCATAATTTTAATATTCATAAGATATTTTTACTAAAATGTTTTAACTTGTAAGCCATCAAGGCTTTAATGCAATGGAAACTCATGTACTAAATGATTCACATCCCATGCAATATACGACGGGCGGTAAGTCATCATAAGAATACTATGGTGGAAAGCTAATTACTGCGTTATAAAAGTCAAACGATACGACCAACCTCTGGATTTATCAATTTAGCAGCGGCTGATGCCACGACTGACTTCATTTTATGGATATCCCATGGACGAAACAGGAACTGTCTGTTAAGGTTTGATCTTTCGATGAGATCCATGTCCGTCACAACAATTTTTCCAGACGGTCCTGCACCAACACCCATCAACGAGAAGTTTTTTAGCAGCTCGCATCCAATTGCACCTGAACCAACCTGTAAAGTAGTTATATGAAGTAAGTAAAGCTTACAACAAAATACTTCAATCCTTTCAGCTTCTCTTGAAACGCACGGCCGAATATGGCAATCTGACCATCATAACGAGATCCAATCGGCTTTGCATCATTCTCTGAGACTACGAAATCTTCATCTGAACTCATCGAGAGGCACTCAGTTGCATCGAAATACATCCACTGTTGCAGCGGCGTGAACTTACCGCTGCAAGCCTTCATAACTTCTTGGGCAGCGAAACTGCCTATAAAAGACTACATAAATTAATTTAAATCAAACTAATGGCATACCAAGACGGGGGAACATTGACCTGAACAAACGCATCCAAAGAGCATAGCTAGTTTTTCATCGATTGATGAGACTGAAGCGTTTGTGTTTTCCATTTGTTTATTGACTTTATGGACATAGTCCACAAAAGTACAGGAATCAGTCCTGCACCAAGGTTTAGGAAGAGATCCGTTGCTATTCTTATAATCACTGAGGGCCTTGAAGAAGAGATGAATCTGTGCGGGATGCTCAGTTTTAACGAAATCTGTCGTCATGAAAACTGGGGAATAATAGGCTGTCCGATAAGGTAGCTGCAAAGAAATAGTACTAAGATATATGAGACTTACAAAGTTGATTTTTAATGGCATTTTAACAAGAGTACACATCCCACCAGATATGTATGGACCAAAATTAGACGTGTCACCAATGGAAAATACATCAGGTCCTAGAAAATTAAATCATATGCGGAAACGACACTTACCAACAACTGTTACTCTTCGGGGTTGACAACCATTTAACTCTACCATCCCTTTTACTTCAGAAAAAGTTACATAATCACCGTCCTGAAACCCATGACGAGTCTCCTCCAAACAAGTTACAAGTCCTTGTTTGCTCTAGACAATATTTTCATGAGAAAACACTTTACCTTCTCTATTTGCTGAATCATGACTGAAGATGGAACTTCACCAGTTGGGTCATACACTACAAAATCTGTCCCAAAGTCACAAAACACTTTGCCAAAAAGTCCGCATGTTGAAGCAACGACGAATTTGACACCTAAACTCCGACAAATGTCTCCATACTCCACACATAGGTCCTCAGATCCCTGGTTTAGCACCACTACACTAAACTTCCTAAAGTCTTCAGCACCAAGTTTATGTTTGTTTAACACGCGGACAGACACATGATTATTCAACTCGCTTAACTTATTCTTACAAATTTCAGCACGTGGATGACCTATGTCATTAAGGTCCGCAAAGTAGTGAGATGTGAGGTCAGCTATACATAATGGAGTGTCATCACACAACGTTACAGATTTAACTCCAGCCAGAATGATATTTTTAGCGACCTCGAGCCCAAGTCCTTCCAGGCCAATAACTAGAATGTCTGTTGTTGCCATTCGGCGCATGCCTTCAGCCCCGTAGACATAAAGCTGCCGACTATAAAGACTTTCGTCCAAATCAGGAACTTCTCCGTTAGCTTCCATCCCCTGTAAAAGAATTATATTATTATTCTAGCTTACAACTTACGTTTGACAAGTTGTTGTTGGTATTTGAATGAAAATTGTTATTGTTGTTTTCTGTAGAGGTCAGTATTTTTTGTCGTTTGGATGGAGGAGTTGGAGACATCTAAACACCAAAAATGTCATTCAGGCCTTACAAGACTTAGGGTACCAAATCAAGTAGCGAAACATCCAAGCTTAGTCAAACACAAGTATTGTACGTATGACGTGAAAAGTATGTTACATAAAAAGTCTCGTATTGCAATATAGGATGAGATTGATTACTTATGAATTACTTTATATATGTAAATTTAACAAATACATACTCAAATGTCTGTTGAAACACCGTTCACATATCGTCTTATTAAACAATCATTGTGACAAATTGCGAAGTGTACAAGTTGTACGAATATCAGAAACTTAGCCTCCGAATATCATTTCTGGACCTTCATCCGAAGCTTTGCAGAATCATACATTGCAATAACGCGAAAAAACTTAAAATATGAATACACTTGTAAGGTTGGTGGGCTGTAGCGGTATATAAATCCTCGATATAAGTAGTTTCGTAAGTCTCTGAGACTGATTCTGGCCCCATTAGCCTTAATAGACACACTCTTGTCAAGGTTTTTTGACCAAGCATCCACACCACTACTAGGTACGCTGTGCTACACACCCTTCGAGACTGGTCAGTTGAGGTCATATAGTTCTGGGCATATCGAATAACTTCCAAACGCACCTTCTGGTTCCTTCAATACCGGCCTCTGGTCTGATTGTCCCTGGGGTCTTACGATCATAAGGGTTCTGCGAAAACAGCGTTGTCAAACACTGAATATCCCTGATATCCTTTGTCCGTTTCGAGGAAAAACTTCCCACCTTAACAGATCATGTTTGTGGAAAGTAAGAATTTAAGATTTTGAAAAAGTCGAGTTCTCAATAAGATGCTAAATTAGGAAAAATTTCTACCTACAATCTTAAGGAACTATTGGGTAGCTACACTCATGGATATCGGAACACAATCCATGGGTTGTTTCGCCTAATCCATGAAAGAATACACTGACGACCAACTAAAAGTTCCAAATTATTTATCAGATCAGGGGAAAACACGGGAGTAGTTAAGGCCATAGGCTAATGATAAGGCTACAACCAAGGATTTCTACGAACATATTTGCCCCAGCTTGCAGATAAAAATCAGTCGACTAAACCTACTACAATAATAAAGGCATCACAATGAGTTCGGAGCCACTTAATGCACTACTTCATGCTTGTTCCGACCACAGCGTTTATATATCTACTATCACATCAATCTTCCGCAATTTCTAATGAAGTTATCTATATCCATACACAACTCTCACTACGACGCAGCCCCTAGGCCACTAGTAAATACAAGTTTCCGGTCAAATTCTCATCGTGGCATTTATTGTATTTCATTTGATGTCAGACATGGTACAAAAAGACGGTCAGCAAACAAATCATAGCGTCTCACTGCAGAGATATACACGGCTGTAATTATGAGATCGAGATTCTTGATATACTGTTGGATTGACCCTATATTTTAGTTCGCTCAGACAGATCCTTATTTGAACTGCAGATATTAAATTAGGTGTATGGTACAAATATTTTTTACCTACTATGGAAGTCTGAGAGAAGATTTCCGGCACCTCAAGGTGTGTCAAGTACGTGATGACAAATAAGGAATCCCCTGTTTTTTGGATAGTTGGAGTGTTCTCAAACTCTTTCAAGTGAAGACTTTAATTAGTGGTAGTGTAGTAAATCACCATATCAGTTCTTGCTACACTAAATTTTGGCGGACGAGAACATAGTGTGCAGAGCGTTTTTAATCACGATTGGTTTCGATTTAGCCTTCGTCGCTTTCAGGACAGTTTGAAACCATATAATCAAGATCCTTCTCTACCTTATTTAGTATATCCTGCAGTTCGTTGCAAACACAGTGGAGAGTTATCGAAAGACTCATTTATAACATAATTCATTGCCGATTACGAAGGTCTTGAAGAGACTGCCACCCAAGTGCTCAAGTTCAGAAGATGGAATAAAGGTCAGGTCAAAACATTGTCAACTGCCACTAAAATTTTAGTCGAAAGTGCGGCTAACCCTAAATAAACATTAGGGAACACGAGAAATGCGAAACCTTTATACACGTCGCAACCAATAAAAACAGTTATTTAACGTTAGATATAGGAATTCTAATGGTAACTCTTGTTCAAATCGGCTTCACTTTTCGGAATAAAACCAAGTTAAATCAGCAGATTTCGCCTATTGACTTTTTAGCCACCAATTGGACGAAGTAACGAGGTGGCGGACGCAGATCTGGCAGCAACTAAAACAGATGTTATTAAGACAAGATTTGTCTGCTTGCTCTAAGAAACCTAGATTGACACTTATAGTCGAATCACCGAATGAGCAAGCAGACGAGGTCACATAGCTAAATTTACAAGAAACGTCGGCTGAATTAGTCGCAAGGTTACAGGGTTTTCTGGCTGAATCCTTAAATTTGATCACGAGACAAAAACTAACGGTGTTCTGGTTTCGCACGATCCAAAAGACTAACACCAATAAACTTTACTCATCAAGTAAGGGACTTGATATGACACAGTAAATAGTCATTTCCTTTTCCATTTCCTGTCCATTTGACTCATTCACTCTTGATTTGCACCCATCACTTTAGCGTATGAAAGACATGGCAACTCCCATTACTGTAGGCTCCAGAATATGGACGTAGAAACGTCCCTGGAATTTTCTCAGACTCAAGACGTCCATCTTGAGGAGCGACTGCAGTTAAACGCGTCAGTGACAACCACAGCCGGTAGAAGCAGCCACTTATTTTGCCTCATTAAAGTTATTACACAAGTCTGTTACCTGTGTATATAGTTACATTCGAGTTTTCAAGATCATTGAAATGCATATCGTCAACAGATTTACGACCCCGAACCAAACAATCTAAGGACCAAGTAAGTCCCGCAGCCGAATAGGAACTTCCAAGCCCATCAGAATGCCCCCCCAAAAAAAATTTAGGTTTACTAAACTCAGAAAGCGAAGAAACGAACTAAGTGTAAAAACTAAGTCTAAAAATAGAGGTTGAAATTATAAATAAACCGAATTCATCATCTAGGTAAGATGCACAACTAGTGGTTTTATGCATCGCATTACTATCTGAGAACGACGTGCCTTGGTAAAAAGTGACCGACTAGCTCGTAAAAACCTTAGACTGATGAAATGCATATTTGACAGTACGCTAGATATTGGAATTATTCGACCCCCACAGAGCCCATGAGCGTCTGTCAGGGTTCATTTCTCAGTGACAACATTGGTGGCCTCTGAATGTTGATCGTGTTTGATCCTCTTCAAGCAACAGCTACCATTCATTAACGAAGATACTAATTTCCAGGTAATGAAAACGATTATAGCTCGTAATTCGGGAGAAAACTCGACGCTTATCTTACGTGTAATTTACGCAAATACAATGTTGTAGACACTCCATTCCAGTCACGACTTGGTGCTTCATGGTCTGAGCTTCCTTCATTTACAGTGCGATACTCGTCCGGACAGGAATATTTACATTTAAATACGCATTCAACATTCAGAAGTCTCTGAAATTAGGGTGTCACTGTAGGGATCCGGTACTATCAGCGTAAATTGTACCTCCCTGGCTCAATGGGCCTGGTTCTACATATGGTATGTGTTCGTCCCCTACTAGAATACTGCCCAGTTGCATACGTTCCCTAGAACGGCAAAAAATTCTGATTGTTATGACTGTGAAAAATAATGCTGCAGGTTGGAGGGTAGCGAATTATTAATCGGACCAAAGACGCACAAACACGTAGAACGGCCTAGGGTTCTGATTGGTCCCGCTTACCCTGTCTAACCCAGCCAGTTGAGTCCAGAACACAAGTTTCAGCCTCGGATATATGAATCATTGTATTTCAAACATACTCTATTTATATACCAAACAAACAAACCACATCGTACCATAAAATAGGAAACAACATTTACACAATATTTAACAAATGAAACAAATACCGACCAACAGATAATGTACATTTAAAGTTCAAGGCCACCACTAGACTTGACACGATAATTATTGGTATATTATTCTGGCCATCCCAACAGAAAGTACAACGGCACTTTACAAGACTCCTCATGCCAGAACTATTATGTTAAGCATATTGAGCATGAAAATGAGATCCTTTATGGTAAAGACGAATTAAACTCATCCTTACCTTACTTTTCAAAATTTTCTGTAACAAAACTGCAGTGAATTGTGATACACTAAAATTTGAGGAAAATATTTATTATAACCTTCAAAATCAGGACTTTACGCATAAGATATAAGGAACACCAAGCAAATTAAGATTAACTTTATTTCTCGCACACAAATCAAGCCTCTGGAATAGGTTACCAGTAAACAACCGGTCGAATCAAACGCTTGCTTTGTTTAGGATAGCACAAAATCTAATCAGCACCAAGCTGATGTAATTCCTTTCTTGTTTATTTGAAATCAGCCTAATACTTTCACGTACACTTTGCTGACTTACCACTAACGTTTATTCATTACCCATTGCCTTATTTATGACTATTGTGTTCCTAAACTTTTTCACTTTCTGTGATTAAAAATTTATCATACCTTGTTTAGATACCCATAATTTATTCCATGTTCACCTAAAGCATTACATCGATGCCTTACCCACAATTCATAAATTGTAAATGCCTGATAGACTTGTAAAATTGTAATTTTAGAAATAATGCTTCCCAACAGGATGTGAAACATAGAGTAACACATGAGATATGACGTGTCACCCACAACTAAGCCTTTAATGAGTCTAACACCAAAAAAGGAAGAAGAGTGAACTTACTGATGGTGAAGGCATTTACTCCAATACACTCATATTTGTAGAGCGGAACATATTGTTCGTTTTAGAGGAAGAAGAGACCACTCAGGGCTACTGATATTGTTCGCCTATGCTCACTACTTAGACTCATGTTTCCAGTTTTATACGTATTCCGCTATCCTACTAAGATAAACTATGACATACTTAAAATTTTATATTATTACCTAGTGGTTGACGTCAGATAAAAGGGAGGATTAAAAAACAGACAATAAGGGCTATAGTT